AAGTTTCTCCAGTAGCAATGTCTAAATGCAACAACCCAGGAGGCTATTCGAACAACCTCGACCCACTATGCCAACCTGTGACTGAGCTGTTCTGACTCTGAACGATACTGAAAACACCTACTGTATAATTACCTCTATAAACCCGTCAATGTAACAAAAACAGAAATCTTCTGGGAAAAACATTCAAAAAACCACAGTTGGCCGTCGTCCATGAACGACCGAGAGAGAGGTGTTGCGAAGAAATTATACTACATATTTCAACTAACATTCGCCTTCAAAACATGATCAATAACTGAAAACCAAGCGTGTGGTCGCGAGCGGCCACATTGAGCAGGAGAGCGGAGCATACCGCTTGTTGCGGCCTGTTTATCTCGTGCATCACCGCATCGTTGTATCTTCGTGAATCTACTCCAAATTCAGCGTGCTGTTGTAAATCTGGGAATTTCGAACGTTTCTTCTTCTTTCAGGCTTTTCACATCAGCCTCGAGGTCGGACACCTGAAAACTTCGGTACTCAACCATTCCTACCAAAACTTCTATTGCACATTTGACTCGGGCAAAAAAACCATAGCTTGAGCACCCACCGTTTCTTTCAATATTACGCAAGGCGAGCAGTCGAACTCCGACTTGGGCATAATTTTGGGCTCCAAAGTTTCATCACCTGACATCTCATCATCAACAGCAGTGAAGTCCAAATGATCCTCTTGGTCGTGGCAGTCCTCCTTGGTGCTAAAAAGATGATCCATCGTTCAGAAGCATTCGACGATAGATCGAATAATTATCTGAGAGGGGGAATCCTTTTCGTGTATAAAGTGAAAGTGTGTCCGAAACCACAGAACTGCACCCCTTTTGCCGCTCGAAAGTTGGTGGCAAGAAAGTTGGACCTTTCTGATTGCCTAACGGTACTGTTGCATGCCCAACACTCGATAAGTCACACGCTCACGTCGCTGCTGGGGAAGACGGACAACCCATTCTCAATTTGCCCCACCTTCACGCACCGTGCGCCAGTGCGCGGTAAATACTCGCACATCAGTTTTCGACGGGAGCATCAAAACTTATGTGCATTCAAACGAAGGCAAGAATTGATGCCGCGTGATATCAATCTTTCCCGTCACTTTACATTCAGTTCAGACGGTCAGGCATGACAACTTGTCTCCGTGTGCAGCATCCCTTGCCACGCCCGGCGCCGCCTATTATGACTGTCCTGCCATTTACTTGCTGCTCTTCGCCTTCCACTGAGGCAGTAGCTCTTTTAGTGCACGGTAAGGACCTCGTCGCCCATGTAATCGCATACGTCTTTAAGGGGAATCATGTGTTCATGTGTCCTTCAAGAGGCGAAAAACAAGAAAGTATGAAGAGTGCGGTCACTGAGCGGCTACTTTGCGAGATAATGCGTACCAGTCGTGCTCGCTGCGGATGGAAGGCGTGTCAGGCGGGATGTTTTCAGTGCGTTGCCAAATCCATCTTCATCACTTGCTGAAGCAGGTAAGCGACAACAGTTGGTGGAAATTGACTGGTATGAACACCCGATAGAGTTTTGTCGCTTCCTCGCTTCAACAACTGGTGAAAATTAGGTTTGGAGCCGCGCCAAACTCATCGCGCCTCACACGCCCCTTCATCCGCAGAAAATAGCCGTTTTCTACTTTTAATCTAAACGCGAAACAGCGATTACGTGGTACGTGAACGGTTATGTGTCGGTAATAGAATGGATTCTTGTAGAAAACTACCATTCCCCAAAAACGAACCTCAACAGTTCACTCGGATAACATTTGATATCATACGACGCGACCTCCTCTGGTTGTTCCCGAGAGATCTGAAAATAATCTTTGGTGGATGGCGCAAGCCTGCAGTAATGGCACTTTGTAACATACCAGAAAAGCAAGAATCCTTTGTTATTGTAGTTTCGGCAATATGTTCATAGTTGTCAGGTGACATCCCTGACGGAGGAGAGCAGGTTTCGTCCAGCCCTTCAAATCGTTTCTCAAAGGGAACACATACTGTGCAGGTGTAGTGTACTATAGGATTCGTTCCACTGGCTGTCAGAGTAACGAACTGCGCCGTGTCGAATATATTAGATCCACATGACGGACAGAAGCGGAAGAGTTTCAGTAGCTGTCTTCCTTTTATCAGAAATTCTTTGTCGAGTAGCATGGGGTCCGTTCCATCCAACTGCAGAATGCTCTCAGGATCCACAGCTGAATCAGACTGCGCCGTGACCTGCAAGATTCTACATTGGGAGAGGCAAGCGACAATCGTCAGATATGTTCTTCTACTCAAGTAAATGGTTATTTGAGTGCGTACCTGGTTTGCAGTATCTTCGTTGGAAGTAGACTCGGGGCAATATGGATATGCGCTCGTTTCCTCTAGGTTGAAACACATGTCATCACTGTCACTCTTAAAAAATACATGTCGGTGCGTGTTCCGTGAAGATGTAACTACTTCAAGTGAAGACAGATTCCACGATTGCATAAGTGCACTTCGGGGTTACCTATGAGTTCACAGGGATTAAATGACCTACTAGTGAGGGAAGAGAGAGAATAGAAAGTTGAAAATGTCCCAAGTATGGTCCGAAAATTGAACGAGCATTTGAGGAGGCGAGACACTGCCGTGCGGGTGAGAGACCAAAGAAACAGACGAAAGAGCAGCAAGATAAGAGAGACGACATACATCGCCTTAGTTATGATAGGGTTTCAGGAGAAACACAACACGTCCACACGGCGCCCATTTTCACCTCACTGAGAGCTGTGAAAGTGGGACAGTTTTACAATGTGGATCGGACTACTAATACAGGGTACTGACGAACCTGGAACAGAACCTTCCTTTCCTGGAGTCCAACAGCATCCTTGTTCCAGCTTTCACGGTGGAATCTAGCCAAATGATTTATTGTGAGCTCAAAATCTGGCTAAACAAAATTATTTTGATGGAAGGCTTCTTCTGTAGAACTTAGGATAACCTTTCCAAACGCCTTATTCTTTGATAGATTTTTCTTCCTTCGTATTACTGAACTTCTGTTCGGAAATTTAGATGCAATCTCGATGAAAAATCCTAAGTGATTCGGATCTATCTGCCTGATATTCGGTGCTCCCGTCCAGGCCCCTGGCTGAGAGAGCATTTCGTTATCTCTTAATTATTAT